CATGATGTAAATATTCACATCATGTAATTGACAACACAATGACAAAAATTCATTTCAAATTAATATGAATATAATGACAGTCAACATTCTGATGTATGAGAACTAGCAAAATATATGATCGGCAGGAACTAGCAAAATATAATGACAATCAACATAAAATATCAAGACTAATAGGGACATGAGAGATTGAGAGTGTATTGATTTTCTTACCCCAAATAGGATCTAATAGAATAGTAAAAAAAAATATAAATTAAATGAAATAAAATTCTTAAAAAGAGAATTTATTTTAAAAAAACTCCCTTTTGAAAAAAAAAGAAAACCTTCGGGGAAAAAAACCCAAACCAGCCAAACCACCCCCCCCCCAACAAATTAATCAAGAAGCAACACATTTCAATAAGCATTATGACTCATTTTTAACGTTTTGTCATGTTAAGACTTCACTGACCTTAGATTCTAGTTCATTATATTTGATTTTTTTTACTCCTAAGGAAACTTTAAGGAAATATATTAGAAAAAACTTTTGGAATTGCTTCGGATCGCTAACTTTACTATTGTGGAACAAGAGCATACCTTGTTTCAGAACGTATTCCAAAATGTAATTAACTAGGGTATTAGCTTTTTCTAGTAACACTCCTTACTCTTAATATTTTTAATTTCAAATCTCTATATTTGAAAGCTGTATCCATCTAAACGGACCCTAATTGTTGAATTTCAAGAATATTCCTTTTTTAGAGTAGGGACGTATCTTAATTAAGCCACTATTTGATGCGTTACCAATGATATTTTGCACTTTCATTTTGTAGATATGGAGTAGCAAATATGTTGTGCACCATTTTTTCTCTTTCCCATCAACATTTGATTTGTCCTTTGTTAAGAATCAATTGCCTTATCCAACTAATACTGTGATATATTCTTGTTGAACAGTGGTATGTCACATTCATTTTCAACACGAAGGGACAAGAATCTATCCAAGATAACTGGATTTTTTGAAAATAACCTAAGGTTTGATGAGAGGACAACTAAATCACAAGCAACATTAACAAATCAGGTGATTGGTGATTTTTTGCTAGTCCATAAAATTACTGCAATTTTCAGACTAAATTGTTCCTGTGGTATAGTTATGCTAGTAAATGTTCTTTGTTAGTGAACTCTCTTTCCCCTCCCCCTCCCCTCTTTTCTCCATAGGGAGCTATCACACAGCCGTCGGAAACATATTTCCACACTGAATGACCGGATGGACAAGTTTACATCTCGGATTGAAGAATTGAATTCCAAGTTAATCGGCAAGAGAGGTTCTACTAGCCCACAAAACATGCCTCTGGAAGCAAAAGCCTGCAATGGATCTACACCTACTTCTTACTTCATCTCTAGTTTAGGCAATGGTTCCTTGACCGTACCTATCATGCCTAATTCTTCATCTTCCTCTTAGTTAGCAAATGAGTCCCCCTTAATGGAAGAGGTAATCTTTTTTGAATTCATCATGTTCATTTAGTGGTCGCAATATATTTATGCGATGTGTTAAGAGCCAGGGGCAAAAATGAAATCTGTCCTTATTGAAAAGTCACGTAACTCGTTGTAAAATGAAAAAATGAATTGGAAATAGCTAAAAACTATTCTGGAAGAAGAATATAAAGGGAAATTTTTCAACCATTATTTAAAATATTTGGGGTGTGTTCTTCAACTATATTCCAAAGTTCTTCGATTCCATATACTACACTTGGTTCTTAGTTTAGAGCAGGTTTTATATTCTAATACAAGTTTTCACTCAACAACTTTTCTATTATGATCTAATTCTTAGATAAAAGAGTTGTCTCTAAATAGTTATGGATCCTACTATTTGATAAACAATTTAATAGTGGCAAGTTTCCTGGAATTTAAGGATAAAAATTCACACTGAAGGCCAAGGAAGCCATCAGTTTATTCTAAATGTGCTGACTAGTAAAGAACTTATGAGTAACTTCTATCAAGTTGTACCAAGTGATCTCTACTGGTTCACATACTTTTTTTTTTCTTTTTTGATAGGCGAAAGTCAATTGTAAGTTGTTAGATTAGCTCTTAGGGGAAGTTGAACCCCCAACCTCTCCCGTACAAGCACCTAAGTGCTGCGTCCACGCCACTAGGCCACGAGGCAATGGATTTGTCAATAATAATAGTAGCAAAATAATTTGCAAAATAAGAGCCAAAATTCCACTTAGACAATAATAATATTAGCAATTCTATATTACTAATAATACTTATTAATATAGTAAAATACATCCTTATGAATTTTTGTCAAAAAATTTGAAAAATAATTTATGAAAATTTCTAAATTTGGTCTATTGCACTATGTATTGATGCCTTTTAGTATGTTCCAATGGGATTTGAATTTTTTATGGAAATACTAGAATTTCACTATTCTACTAGTGCTTTGTTTTTGTCTCTTTGGAAACAAAAATATTTTTTTGCTGTTTAAATGGGAACTGAAAATTTTGTTCCCTAGCGTCTAGTGCCTACCAGCTTCCCAGAAGGCTACCATGCTATCTCACCAACAACTTTCCACAACTGGATAGACTAAAAATGATTTTAACACATGGCTAAACCCAAGTAATTGGGACCATGGGTTGCTGAGTTGAGTGTGATTTGAAGTTTGTAAGTTCTTTTCTTTGGTGTTTATCCTTATCTATGTATAGAAAAGAAGGAATAAAGCATATCTGATATTCATGCCTACCAGGTATTTGACAAAATGCCTCAAGCTATAGTGGTATTGATTAAAACATATCAGAATTGTTGTTTTGGAATTTAATAGACTGACAAAGGTATTAGTTAAAAAGTGGACTAGTATGGATGAAGTTTTTTGGTTTAGGCCTTTCTTAGAAATCAATTCTTGGGTTTGTAGCTCCTTTGTGTTAAGAGTTCTGAAAGGGCTTTGTGTTTACATATTGGGCTCCAAACCCATGGCTCATTCCAAAAGGTACTGATATTGGAAATTCACTTCATTCTTGGGTTGCTTTACATCTGTATATAGAAGTTAATATAATAATGCAAAAAATAATTCAACTTTGGTCAGTTTATGAATAAAAAATTGGGCAACAGTCACTATTATGTACCTTAGTGGATGTTGACTTATCAAGACTCCATAATAGTTATGTACTTAGATTTGCAAAGTGTATAGTAGCTGACCTTAGATTTGCTATGTACTTAGATTTGCAAAGTACATAGTAGCTGACCTTAGTGAGTTGAATTCCTTTATGCAATAGTATGGTGTATCACCAGAAAGATTTGGAGAGTATAAGGAACTATGTAGTTTCTTCAAGGTCTTAACAACTAGTGCAGATTCAGATAATAACGTATTGACTACGGGCAATTTGTTATATTTTATCAATTATCAATCTATATGATATTCCAGCTAAAATTTTCTCTATATGAATTATCAATTGATTATTTATTTTTATCAATAAATAAGTTTTACTCTCCAATGTTTTTTTTTTCTCCCTATATATTTGAACATTCTAAATTTAGAACATTTATTTGTATCAGGTCTATGTCTCCACAGTCCATGCACACAATTATCCTGTTACTGCCTTCCAGTGGCATCCAGAGGTACTATCTTTGAAGTGTATCTCATCATAATTGTATTGGGAATGTGAGATTCATGATTTTGTTTATTGGATGCTCTCCTATGTTGTTCATTAGTCATTATTGTCATCACTATTTTTGATCTAGTTGTGTTAACCTTCTTGTGTTCTGGAAATGATGCCAACCTTTCCAGTTAGTGTGGAGACTATGCTAATGGAGGGAGCTAATTAGAACACTTTTTAATTAGCTCCAATTGTTTACACTTGCTAATTGATGCATAGGAATGACACTTTTTATTGATGCATATCACCTCAAGCCCATAATGAGATAGATAATGATGGTATAGATCAGTTTTGTATTTTTAGATTTTTGATGCAAAAATATTTGAAACATTGTCCATTTGTTTATGTTTTTTCAATCTTCTTTGCATGAGATATTCCAATTTGATTAAGAACAAAGTAGATAAGAGTTTAGGGGAAAATATATTTATTTTGTTGTTCCTTGAGTGTTGTTTGTACCTAAATTAAATTGAATTCCCTCCAAATTTGTGTTCAATGACACGTGGGAATAATATTTAATAACTTTTTCAATTATTTTTTTGTCTTTTCGTTTCCCTCCTACCGAACAAAGCATAACATTGTTGAGTATTGTTGCTGTAGGAAATTTCTGCCTTAAGATGGAACCGTTCTGGAGAAAAGATTCCTTGATAGATAAAAATGAAATTTGCTGTGTTTAATTCCAGTAACTTGAAGAACCAATTTACACTGTGAATGCACAACTGTCCAAAGTAAAAGAGAGATTTGTGTTGGGAATACAAGTTACTGAGAGGGTAATTTATATATAAATTGGGCCGAGTTTGGCAATGGGCCATTCTATGGGCCACAGTAAGAAGGGCTGAGTAAAAGGGCCTTGTAATTAGTCCGGTCCAGAAGAGCCTTGTAGATAGCCCAGTCTGAAGGAGCTTGGTGGTTAGCTCAGTCACCACGGTCGGCGCGATGACAGTTAGCTCGGTCATACTATATTGGGCCGAAGTATGTTGAGCTTTCCTCAGAACATTGCTATTGCTTAGCTTGGTCCAAGCTCGATGTGATTAGTCCGATCTCAGACAACATAGTTGGAATATGTCAAACCGAGGTACAAGCAGTGAAAGGAAGAACCGAGCTCGTGGGAGCTCAGACTAGTCTGCAGCTTTAGCATGGCCATGTTATCTCGGTCATATTGACATCCAACTATGGTAGAATCATCTCACTTGGTTTAAGCAGTGAGGGGGGTGCTAAAGGATAAGCATGATCTTTCAAAAAGGTGATTCCTAGAAGGACTCTATGTGGAGGAGTACGAGTCCTACTTGGATTGTGCCATGTGAAACCTATAAAAGCTCACAACATCACCTATGGAGAGGTAACACAACTTTGATTCCCGAATACATAGAGCTTTTGTCTATTTGTCTATTTTGCTGACTTAGGCATCGGAGAGATATATTGGTGGTTAGCTCAGTCACCACGGTCAGCGCGATGACAGTTAGCTCGGTCATACTATATTGGGCCGAAGTATGTTGAGCTTTCCTCAGAACCTTGCTATTGCTTAGCTTGGTCCAAGCTCGATGTGATTAGTCCGATCTCAGACAACATAGTTGGAATATGTCAAACCGAGGTACAAGCAGTGAAAGGAAGAACCGAGCTCGTGGGAGCTCAGACTAGTCTGCAGCTTTAGCATGGCCATGTTATCTCGGTCATGTTGACATCCAACTATGGTAGAATCATCTCACTTGGTTTAAGCAGTGAGGGGGGTGTTAAAGGATAAGCATGATCTTTCAAAAAGGTGATTCCTAGAAGGACTCTATGTGGAGGAGTACGAGTCCTACTTGGATTGTGCCACGCGGAACCTATAAAAGCTCACAACATCACCTATGGAGAGGTAACACAACTTTGATTCCCGAATACACAGAGCTTTTGTCTATTTGTCTATTTTGCTGACTTAGGCATCGGAGAGGTATCCGGCACGCACCCGCCGGCTAGCTCACGTTTGTGTTTTCAGGGAGTAAAGCGACGACGTTCGGAGGAGCGCGGACTTGATCAACAGGATTATACGAGAAGATTTTTTCTTGCTCGTACAATTGGCGCCGTCTGTGGGAATCACAGAAAGAACAAAACCTCTTGATCAAAGTTCTCCTCGCTAGATTAGACGCAATGGCGCACAATGAAGATTTGCCACAGTCCGCCATTGACGAGCAAACCTCAAAGGGAAGTGGGAGGCGCGAAGGTTTGCCTTCCATCCCTCCCATGGCAGATTTGGGGCCCCAGCGACAGAATCCCCGGAGGGATGTGAGGGGAAGGCGGGGTAACAGCCCCCGTCGCTTATCAAGTCCTGATAGACAGAGGCGGAGGATCGACCCTCAAGTTTTGGAGGATCGGGTAAAGGAGCAGGACGAGTTAATCAAGAAGATGGCAGCGGACATGGAATTGATGAAACGCCAGATAAAAGGAAAAGAGGTGGCGACAGGAGAGGGGCGCAAAAACGATACGCCTCCTCGCCACTCGGAAGACCGTGGTAGGCATACCATGCCACCACAAGCAGAGAGTAGGAGCCTCAGAACAGGCGACACTCACTCAAGGACTTCCAGGACTCATTACTCCAAGTTTGAGAGAACGAAAACATTGAGGCCCTACACTAAGGGAAGCACTTATCGGCCCTCACATGCGCACCAAACGGCATCCAGGCAAACGGAGTTGCCTAGATCGTCCGACTTACAGACTGCGCTTGAAGAAAGGGCACGACTGAAGGAGGATGCCAGGGCACGCGACCCACAAAGAGTTTCAGCCCTTCAACGATTGGCTCCTCGGACGCATGGAAGCGTCGATGTTGGAATGCCAATACCGCACCTTGCCTACGAACCAATAGATAAAGCACTGGCAAGGCTACATAGCTCGCCGTTCGTTCTGGCGATTGAGAACGCACCCTTACCTTCAGGCTTCATCCAGCCTAAATTTATGACTTACGAGGGGAAAACAAACCCTTACATGCACCTAAGCCACTTTTGCCAGGTCATGGTAGTGTACTGACGAAACAAGGCTTTGATGTACATCCTATTCCTATCCAGCCTTGGTGACCTAGGTTTGACTTGGTTCGAAAGGCTACCAGAAGGCAGCATAGCCTCCTTGGCGCAATTAGTGGAGGCGTTCGTGACAAGGTTCAGAACGAACACCAAGACGCCAGTAAAGATCGATCAGCTACTCTCCATCGGCATGGGCAACATGGAGACGTTGAGATCTTACAACAGTCATTATTGGGAGACCTTCAACCAGATAGGAGATTGCCCCACAAATCTCACCATCGCGCAATACAAAAGAGGTCTTCCAGTCGAAAACAGACTGAGGGACTCAATTACCATGACGCCCCCCCTCACAATGGAAGCCTTAATGGAGAGGGTACACTAGCATATTCGGGTGGAGGAGGATGGCTCCCGTGCTAAAACAAAGTATGGTACAATCGCAATACCAGATAAAAAGACTTCGGTAAAAGTCAACGCGGTAGAACGTCCAAACAAGAACGGGCGAGGCAGGCGAGACAACGGAGAAGACCAAGATAAAAGATGGTTGAGAGTCTGCACTGCCATTACCACGGTATTCAAGAAACCAATCTATCGAATTCTCAGCGAGATATGCGATGAACCTTTCGTCAAATGGCCAGCTAAATTGGGAGAGGCACAGAAGGACTACGATGAAAGATCTCGATGCACCTTCCATAAGGAAAAGGGGCACCGCACTGAAAATTGCACGCCATTGAGACAGCACCTGGAGGAGTTAGTGGCAGCTGGGCACCTTGACCAGCACATAGAAGGAGGGACACAACCAGCCCCCCTAAACCACAATCACCCAGACGGAACACCGATCGACGCCCTACCTCAAGGCGTGATAAACGTAATACATGGAGTATTCGAACCTGAGCGAGTATGTGAGCTCAGGGGCATGATGAAAAAGGCTGAGCACTTAAGGGAAGTATTAAGTGTGTAGCCCACCATTAAAAAAGGGAGAACAGAGGCCACGAGCGTCATGTCTTTTTCAGACAGAGACTTGGCAAGGATATATTGCCCTCACAACGATCTATTGGTCCTCACTCTCCGCATCAAGGATTACGACGTCAAGCAAATTTTGATTGACGAAGGGAGCTCATGTGAGATAATGTATTACGAAACTTTCAAACAGTTGAAACTGGAGGACAAAGACTTGGCACCTGCCGTATCTCCCCTGATCGGATTCAACTCAATGCCAGAGTAGCCAGTTGGCAAGATAATCCTCCCAGTCAGAGCAGGAAGCATGACAAAACAAGTGAAATTCTGGGTATTGAAAGTCCCTTCCACTTACAACATAATCTTGGAGAGGACATGGTTGCACGCCATACGATCGGTAGCATCAACCTACCATCAAGTAATGCGGTTTCCCAACGAAGCCGGAGTAATTGAAGAGGTCTATGGAGACCAAATTATGTCCAAGCAATGCTTCGTCACAGTAAATGGCAGCCGAGCTGCCAAAGGGTTTATTCAGATGGTGGAAGAACCTGAGAGCAATGAATTGTTTGCGGATGTTGGCAAAGCCGCTGAACAGAAGGCAGTGGAAGACTTGGTATAGGTAAGAATAGATGAAAAGGACCCGGAAAAGTTCTTTTTGCTTGGCTCATCTATGTCCAGCACTGAGAGAATAGAGGTCATGGAATTCTTGACCTCTAACATCGAAGTGTTTGCCTGGACGCCGTATGACATGCCCGGGATTGACCCAAACTTCATCTGTTACCAATTAAATGTCCACCAAACTGCAAGACCAATCATACAACGCACTCGCAGATCAGCACTCCACCGCGTTGAGATAGTGGCGGAAGAAGTGAGAAACCTTCTAGAGGCAGGAGCTATCAGAGAGGTGCACTATCCCAAGTGGATATCCAACACAGTAGTGGTGCCAAAGAAGAATGGAAAATGGCGTGTCTGTATGGACTACAAAACAGTAAACAAGGCATGCCCAAAGGACAACTTT